GTACTGTACCATTTTGTGGCTTACGTAGGTGGCCTTGCTGAAAATCTCTAAAATCAAAGTTTTCACCGAGTTTTGAACTCGGAAATATACCGGTCATGAACAAATCAGCAACATAGCAGAAAGCAACCTCAACAAATGAATAAATGTAAGGGATTATATTTTAACTTCTGTAATTAAGAATATTATTTTGTAGAACTTATATGTAGCATTGCATTTATTTGGTGAACTGGCCCGTCGAGAATCTGAACATAAAAAATTGAGATCCACACAAGGTAGTGATCACAAAACTCTTTCAAGTTATGATCACTTTCAAGTAATTTTATATGACGGTGGACTCATTATTTGATTTTTAAATTTTGTCAGCAAAATCAATCCACGTACCATAGGTATACTCATTGTCTTGAAAGTAACGGTCAACAAATTCCATGAGTTTCAAGATTTCCCTTCAGTAAACTTAAATTAAATTATCTAAGTCACTTGCATACGTACATTAAACTAAATACCTGAGCTTTCTCTGATCCCAGACCTTTTTTTTTATATATAAGAAAATCTAATCACTCCCTTCAGACCTCTTTTTTTAAAGAATGAAAACAAGTCTTTTTTTTTCCTAAATATAAGGAGCAATTACCCATTATCCATTGCATTTATAGAAAATATTCTTCTTTAACCTTATGAAACAATTCATAAGGGCATTTTGGGAAAAAAAATTCCTTACCTATATATGAATCTTGTGACAACTTGGTTCTAAAAAGAAAATAGAAAAGGTTAAAATCATAATTTTATGAAAGAGACATTTCCACAAAATCGTATCCTTCAAATAAATAACCTATATTTATTATTGATTAATTATAATAAAAATAGGATTAAAGGGCAAAAATACTTATTAACTTTTTTCTAGAAGTACCAATTATCCTTAAATGAATAAAGGTGTAGGAATAAGTGTAGGGAAACATGAAATTGTTTTAATGAATACAACAAACCCCATCATGTTAAAATTTCAGGACGTCACTTAACATTGACCACTACAAAAAAGAAAGCAAACATAAAGTATAAAAGTATTTATAAACTTTTTCTCTAACAGCTTCTAACATCCTTAAGTCAACAATAGTGTATGGGTAATTATTAACTTCATAAAAATGGCTATATAGCCAACTTTGGCCTAGTACCTCAAGCTTTCAAGCTTGTTTTATAATACTTAAATTGTTAAATATTATTTTATTTTATCCTTTCTAGTCAATTTTAATTTTTATCTTAAAAAATTAATCTTCAATTTTTATCTAATTTTAATTTTATTTTATTAATAATAAAAAAGAATTTGATTATCTTGGCTAAGCTTATTTGGGTTCAGGCTAAAAAATATTTTCTATATTCCCAAGCTTGGCCCTAAAATTTTTCGAGCTTATTTAGGCGAGCTCGTTAGACTTAATTCAAACTATTGATTATAATTAACCTTCTCCAATTTATTAATAAGGCAACACCCCTTTCATCCATAAATCCCCCTCCCAAAAGAAAAAAAATAGTAAACTCGTTAAGGATAAGCATTTAGTCCTTTCTTCAATTTTCCTTTGAAAAACATTGTTAGTAAGCAACAATTCTTCTAAGTCGATGTTATTAACTTGTTTCTTAATATGACTGTTGTTACCCGAAATAAATCAACATAATTATTTTCATAAAAGATTACATACTCACCAGGAAAAAAACAAAAAGATAACACAAATTTCCAAATCAATATAAATATAAAACTCATAAGGAGCTTGTGAACTCACACTTGGAGATTGTTAGGATGTCCATATATAAGTGGCTAATTAAAACAATAAGAGAAGCCCATATCAAATAAAATTGAGTTTAATACGTAATGTATAATAAAGAAAAACGATCCATAAACTTAAGTTTTGAGATTTTGAGTTACAATAATATGCAATATCCTTTCCATTACTCTTGCCCATTTCTTGAGTAGTTATTTAGATAGAATAATTCTTAAATTATCTCTAATGCATAGAAACTAATTATCTTATGGGCTTAATCAAATATGTAAACTACAAGAAATAAAAAGAGAGAGAGAGAGAGAGATGATGAAAGAAAGAAAGAACATGATCCGTGGAAATTAAATAAAAAGAATAAATCCAGACTGTACTAAAATATCATAATTGAGAAGAAAACTAAAAGAGCACTATAAATTCTTAACGAAATTAAAAAGAAGAATATTAAAAATTCACAAACTGCATTGAATCCAAAAATAGCTTGGTTTTCTTGGTATAATTATAAAGAGACATAACTAATTAACCTAATGGTTTGGTTCATGGAAATAAAAGAGAAGAGAAGATAGCAGCGATGACAGACAACTCAACTTGTAAAACTCGTGGACGAAGTGCTTTACACTTATCCTTTATATGCATATTATATAAATATGAATCAAGTCTTCGCTATGCAGTTGTAATTTTTATTGACCTTCATTTATTTTAAGGAAAATTACATAGAGGTCCTGTAATGTAGACTTATTGACATTAAGTCCCATAAAATGTAGAAACCACAATCAAGTTCCCTGAGGCTGAGTGTAATTTGGAATTAGGATCGGTGCAAAGACAATACTGCCCTTACAGTCAGTAACACATGATCATTATAATTATTAGATATGTAAAATTACAGTTATAAAATATTGAAGAGATATTTGTAAATTATCGATGAGGTAATTGTAAAGAATTAGTGTTAAATTTTGTTAGTAACATATGATCAATTTAACTATTAGATATTTGAAGTTATAGTTGCCAAAGGTTGAAATTGTGGTTGAAGTGATAATTGTAAATTATTAATGAGGTAGTTGTATATAATTATTATTAAACTTATAACACATGATTAGTTTAATTATTGGATATGTAAAGTATATAAATGACTTGACATATATATATATATAGCTAAATGAGAACTAATTAACCCTTCAATGAATTTGATCTTTGTCAGTTTAGTCCCTTACGATGTGCTTTATTCTCCTATTTTTTAAAATTTCCAAATCTAATTTTTTCTACTTAAATAATTATACTTCTTTTTTATCAAGTTACATAGCTGAACCATCAATATCCTGCTATCCAAGTTAGTAAATTTTAATTGTGTAACCTATTTTTTAAACAATAAGGACTAAAGAGATAATTGAAGTAGACTTAAGAAACTAAATTAATAAAAATTAAATTAAAGAGACCAAATTAATAATTAAAACAAAATTAAGGGACTAAAAATTACATTATCCCTTGATTTTGAATTCCAAATTTTCTTGATGTTGATAACTCAAGGGTTAATAGAAGGAAAAAGTAAACCAGAGGATCAAAGCAATTGTTTAATGCCACGTTTGGTTGAAATGATTCAGGAAAAGAATAGAGTGAAGAATAGCCATTCTTGCGATAGAGGGTAGCTAATAGGAATACAAGGAGATTCCGAGAATGATACTTCAATTATTAAAATTCAAAAATTAATTAAAGAACATTATATATCCATGATTCTCAGGCAAGTATATGTGCATGAGTGAGTGCCTGTGAGCCTATTCTTTTTCCTTTTCTTTTGTTTTCTCGTTTTTCTTTCTTCTTTCCTCTTTCTCTTTTTCTACAAAGAAGCTTGATTATATGCCAAATTCTCAATACAGATTGTTAAATATTGTGCCATACACATTGTTTATTTAATTTGTTTAGTATTAATTCTAAAAATGTTATTATCATCCCTACTACAAAAATTTGGATATAAAATGTCTAAAAATATGACGACTATAAAAAAATTCATCATATAATAATGAAGCAAGTGATGGCTAGTAAATAAATGATGGGTGTTTAAAACACCCGTCATATATATATATATATATTACCATATATGATGGGTTTTTAAATACCTGTCATATAATTCAGTATAGAACTGTAGATATCCAAAACACTTAAGATCGAATGAGATTTTAACATTCCATACCATAATTAATGATATTATATCCCTTATATAACCCCAGAATTAAAAGAATTTATTTTATGTGTGTGTGTATATGTCCTCCAATTGTACAGTATTTTATTATATTCATTCCTTATTTAATTTTCCCTCATACTTCTGGTCATGTTTAATATCTTTTCTCTCTCCCTTATACTTGATATTTCTTATAATTTTATAACAAAACATTACTAATATAATGGCATGATCATCACCATGGTTTTAAAATCTAGATGGGTTATTAAACTGGACTAGACACTGATTCATGGTTCGATAGTTGAACCAATTAACATTAAATTAATATATTTTAAACTTTTGTATCATAATTAAATAAGAAATACAAGTAAATATGTATTTTTTTAAAAATATTATAAATGCTTGGTAGTAGAATTTATTTTTGATGAATACATAATTAATATTAATAATGCTTTCAATTTAAAAATCAAGAAAAATGTTGATAAAATGATAAAATGTTAGACACTATTTTGAAGGCATGTTTAAAACTAAATTAAGAGGATCAAGTTTAAACAAAAAAATATAGATAAATAATAAAAAGCACAATGGTTAAAAGGATGGTGTTTAAATTTTAAAAAACTTCAAGATATAAGCAAAAAAAAAAACAAAATCAGAAGAAAAAAAGAAAAAAAAACGAAGAATGCATTACGTTGAGTGTGCATAATAATAATATTTGTTAGAGTCCCACGTTACTTGTATCAAAAGAGAATGCTGGCGCGCATGCTATAAAAAGAAGGGGTGGATGTCACGCCCTAAAAATTAGACGTGACAGGCACAGGATATATACATAAACATATATCCCTTAAGTCTTGATTAAGAAAATTTTAATATAATATTTTAATTCATTTAAAATAGGATAGAAAATATTGTAACAATTTTTTTATAAAATATTCTTAAACTTTTTGTAAAAATTTTTAAGAGAACCTTCCCGAAAACATAGAACCTAAAAAAAATATTTCATCACAATTTATGACATCAACTCAGCAAAAGAGAACTCCTCTCCTCCACAACAATCAAATAGCACAATATAGAATCAGGACTCTAACTATAATCTATGTGGAGCACCTAAAACATTATTTGTAAAAATACAATATATGAATTATAAATTTACATCAAAATAGAAATTAACCAAAATGGTGTCTCAACTTCAGTCCAGAAGCAAAATGTCTTTAAGGATCTAATGGAGGTACACAGTCCGCTACGTTATCTGAGACCAAAAATATTTTTTCAGTGAATAACGTCCCAATAATAAATCATTGAACAAAAAAAATTAAATAATTATGTAAGTTAAAGAGACAACAATCTTTATAGAATTTAATAAATTTCAAAATAAAAGGATTCTATAAAATTTTAAATAAAATCTCAAACCATTAAAATCTCATAATAAATAATATTATCATTTGATTGCAAGGAAGCAAATAACAAAATCAATAATTATAAATAATTTACTATTTAAAATCAATGGGATGTAAAGTTACCAAATAATCAAATTCATATAATAGGGACTTATCAGAACAATTAACAAACGTGGACACACAGTCCACGAGGGTATGTAATCAAACGCAGCCGAAGCTACGAAACAAACGTGAGTACGATGCTCACGAATAACCATCCCTCCGTTCCACGTGCGTTGGCCATCGCACGGGGCTAGCACCTCCTATACACACCCTGCTAGTTAGGTGTACCATGGCGCGCCAAGGGCTAACGGAACTGCCGTTAGCAACCAGTGTTCTATATAAAGTCCCTTTTTAAAACCATTTTCGAGCATGCGAGAAAATCATCACTTTCAATATACAGTTCTCATTCTTAAAATTAAACTCGCATGAATACTTTTAAACATTAAAACTTTCCAGAATCAAATTTTATATCTGATGCTCATGCTTGCATTTATTGAACAAAGAAAAATTTTCAACGTCGAACTCGCATGAATCATTCTCTGTATCAATCCAATATTTGATAAAATAAAAATCTCATAATCAAAGTTCAAACTTGACTTGATTGATCAAATAACATTTCAAATTTTGTAAAGCTAATTTCTCAAAATAAAGAAATGTTAATCAACAAATATCCAATAACCGCATTAATGCTATTAAAATGATTTTCAAAAAAAAAACATAGTATTTTAGTAAAGGAAATTTTGATTGAAAAAAAAATCAGTTGGGACGCTATTCACTTACCTGTAGCATCCTCAAGGCTCCAATCTCATTTCTTATGACTCTATTTGAGCTTCCCTCCTTCCAAACATCTTGTAATATATAATAATATTTTAACAGACTTTATTTTTTAAAAAAAAAAACTAACAAGACCCCATTTTGAGAGAACCTACTCAACTAAAATTAAAAATAAAAATTTTGAATTTTTAAGAACACAATTCATTCATAAATTTTTTTTTTCAAGCTTTTTACCAAACATTTAATGTACAACATTCCAAACCATTCAATAAAACACAAAACCTTTAATTCTACTACCCAACCATTTCCAAACATTCAAATATAACTTCCAAAATGATAATGTACTTTATAACCTTTCAATTTTATAACTCAACAATTCAAAACTCAAATAAGACCTCAATAACTTCTTAAATAAACTCCTTTGTAATGCTCAAATTAAAACTCTACTAAATAACATTTAAATCAATCATCCTTTTTGTCTCAATCATTAGAACTTGAGAAAATACACAGTCAAGCAAAAACTCTACAAACAGGCATTTAATCAAACAATTTATGAATATCAATATTTAAGCTCATATTAATCTCTTCTTCCTCAATATCACTTCCTTAAAATTTTGGATAGCAATGTTACAATGAATTTCAATTAAAATTCAAACCCACTCCATCATCTCCTACTCTTATACGACCACAAAGTTCATCTTTAATCAAGCTTTTCCTTCACACACATATATACAACCAGTCACGTTCAGCAGCAGCAGCAGAGGAGAAAATTTTTGCAACTCAATTCATCAACTCACACACCCGCTCGCACGAAAATAAATATGGAGAAAACTTGAAGTTCTTGTACCAGAAATTTCCAAACAAAGACAGTGAAAGGGAGAAGAAATCGCACCTTAAGCTGAACAGGGGAGGGAAAATCTGATGCATCATGTGAAAAAGAAGAACAGAGCCAGCAAAATCAAACCAAGAATAAAAAGAAGCATCAGTAGCAGCTCCGTCCAGTTTTTTCGGCTTCCATGAATCAGCTCCCACCCACCAGCAATGACGCAGCCGCGAGTGAAGGAGGCAGATCATCGAACGAGGAAGATGACTAGGCGACGACAAGCACGCTATTATCACTAGCTAAAGGATAAGACCACGGAGAGGAAGATGATAGGAAGGATATTTCGGATCTGAAGTTCGAAGCTACTGGAATCAAGAAAAAAAATTTCCAACTCTCTTCCTCTGGTCCAGAACGCGTGTGCACCGCCGAAAAAGAGAAGAAAAGAAGAGGAAAGAAAATGGGGAAGACTTGACTGGAGGCAAAACGACGAGAACTCGCCGGAAAAATCGAAGAGGAACAGAGGGAGCTGGCACCGGTGTAGCTTGAGTCGAAGGATCTCGAAACTTTTTTTTCATCCTTCTGTGCGTCTGACCGAGAGGGGAGGGGAATAAAAGTCTGACTATTAGAAAATTGTAAAAATTACAAGACAGGGCACAGCTTTTTCTTTTAATAACATAAGAGAAATGGGCACTTCTTGTAATTTTTTTCCAAAATTTTAAACTAATAAAATTTAACCTATTGATCAAAAGAATTCAACCTCTTAACCTTCAAATAAACTATTAGCATAAGTTTCATTAAATCATCACTTTTCATTTGTCATAAAATTAATTTAAATAAAATATAAATTGAGAGAATATATATATATATGTATATTGAAATTTTTGGGTCATTACAGTGGAGCACGCTAAAAATGGCATTGTAATAAGCTGAGCTTTGCTTTTGTAAAAATTGCAGATCATGGCCCAGAAATTTTTAGTAATTTAATTTAATTTTCAGCTAGTTTTATATTTTAGTCCAAGTTTTTGTTTAATTTGATTTGGTTTTTCAAGGAAACTGGTCTGGTTGTTAACCAATGTTACCAACTATTGACCACTTCTTCATGGCTGGTTTTAAAGTGTCAATTGAACTGGACTGAGAGTCAAATTATGGTTCAATTGGTTGAAATGCTTGGTCCTATTTGATTTTTAAAACCTTGATCATCACTCTCAAAAAAATTTATTATCCATATTCATTAGCAGCTGATAATGGTTTCTTTTAACAATATTTTATTGACAATTATAAAAAAAAAAAAGCATTGATAGAAGAAATATTGTCGGTAAAATAAAGATGCAGTTTTAGACATTTGAAACTCAAAATAATTCTAATCTATTGTTGCTGGATCCTCTTTCTCTGCATGAAAATAAACTCAGTTTTAGCTTTGCAATAAATGTTGACACCTCAGTTTTATTTGTGTGCGCGTACGTGAATAAAAATATATTTTTTTATTTGTGAACGCACATATTAATATGTATCTTTTAAAAACTATATTGTTAAATTTAGTTTTATTTGCTTTCTTTTAGAGAATAAAAAATATTAAAATGTTAAAAGTATAGCTAAACGGAGAAAATTAATTACAAACTCAAACGGTAAGTAATCTCAAATTATTTTTTACTCGCTAAATTATCAATATCCAAGTTGTCAAATTAATTATGTGACTCCAAGTGTTAAAGTGATACGATGATATTGTTGGATTTAATGGTGGATTAGGGATATTAATTAAACAAATATATATGTTGTCAAGCATGAGTTGAAGACAATAGATATCATGCTCATCTTCAAAGTATATAATAATGAAACATCTCTTTAAATAAAGAAACATGCCATTTTATAAATATGCATTGGGAGTTAATATGTTTTCAAACATGAACAAGAGGAGATGCATGAAATTCAGCCATACACATCATTAATTAGCAATTACAACTTGAAACTGATCTACCTAGACTGAGAAAGAAAAAGTAAAACAAAGAAAAGAAACTACTTTCCTCACACAATCAACTAAAAACCAGCGTTTTATGTATTTTTTAAAAAAAATATTATAAATGCTTGATAGTATAATTTATTGTTAATAAATACATAATTAATATTAATTATGAATAAAGCTTTTCATTTAAAAATCAAGAAAGATGTTGATAGAATGATAAAATGTTAGACACTTTTTGAAGGTATGTTTAAGCTAAATTAAAATGATCAAGTTTAGACAAAAAAAAATAGATAAATAACAAAAATTACAATGATTAAAAAGATGTGTTTAAATTTTAAAAACTTCAAGATATAAGGGGGGGGAATCTTAACCAAAATCAGAAGAAAAAAAGAAAAAAAAAAAAGGAAGAATACATTACCTTGTGTGCAGTGACAGAACTAGGTGTATCAGGGGCCTTCTTTTTCCCATATATTTATATGGGTCTTAAAATATTTAGCCCTATCAAAAACATGAACCCCCTCCCTCCTCCAGAAAAGATAAAAAAAGCTTAATATATCTAGATACAATATATATATATATATATATATATATAACACTATGTAATACTATCTCTTATTTTATTTATAGGACAGAAAGAATGATTTCTTGTCTTCTTTATAAGTCATGCCATTAAATTTTAGAAAAACATTACTTTGGATCCCTGCATTTTGCTATAGGTTCTTACACTTTTTTCAGTGTTTTAGGTCCATACATTTTTATTTTTCAGTGTTTTAGATCCCTTTATGAACAAAGTGTGAGGACTTTAAAGGAACCTAAAATATAAAAAAATAAAAGTGTAGAGACCTATAATATCAAAAGAAAAGTGTAGGGACCTATAGCATTGAATAATATTTTAAAAGTTATAAATTATTTTTAAGAAATTAAGTATAAAGAATATAATAAAATTAAATTAACAATATATATATATATATATGTATGTATGTATGTAAGTATAATTTTTTTTGGGGAAAAAATTGACCCCCCTCTACTTCCAAGGCTAGTTCCGCCCCTGCTTGTGTGTACATAATATTTGTTGGAGAGTCCCACATAATATTTGATAGATCAAAAGAGAATGCAGGCGCGCATAACTCCAGAAAAAAAAGGGGTGGAGCACGTATGGTATTTTAAGAGGCCAAACTTTTCTTCCGTGAACATTGCAGCTCATGGCCCAAGATTTTTAGCATTTTAATTTAATTTTTGGTTAGTTTTATTTTTAATTTAATTCTTTTAATTTGGTCTGGTTTTTCAAGGGGAATAGTTCGGCTTTCAATCTGTATTATACCAATTATTGAACGATTTCGTTATGGCCGGTTCTAAAGTGTCAAACGAACTAAGTCTGTATTAACTCAAAAATTTCAGCAAAATTATAATTTATGATAAGATATTTTAAATATATGATTATTAATATATGGAACTGATATTTAAAGAGAGATTGATGGATCTGTTAAAACTTTCAATGTAATAACTAGACATGATATTTATTTTTCCTATTAAAATTTGAAATACAAGTTACAAATTAATCATAATAGAGTTACAAAATTGAGAGATTGAGTTGTAAATTTCTAAAATTTAATACTTAAGACCTAACTTAAATTAATTAGTCCTTTTGGACATCTATATCTTCTTCCAATAATATCATTATATATATATAAGTAAAGTTAAAGGCTACGAGAGAATGCCACGTGTTCATTTTTAGATTTGCTGTAATTTACGCTTCAGGATGTCTTTCCTGCGATTCTGTGCTCTGGTGTTAGATTTGGGGTTAGGTTCAGGCTAATTATTATTTTTTATTATATATATATATATATATAATATGTTATTCAGATTTGGAGTTAGGTGTGGGATGACTTACTAATTTTTAGATATATATAAAAATTATTTTTTACCTATTTGAAATTCAAATATCATCATATTTGAATTCAAATTAATATCTATTTATTTAAAGTTTTCATCCACTCTAAAGATATGTCGAAAATCTAGGTTCATATAATTGAGTGTGTGTGTGTGTGTGTGCGCGCGCGCGCGCGATATATTGGTATTCAAATTTAAACTAATATTTATCTATTTAGATATTTAGAAAAAGGAATATGTGTTTGAATTTTTAGACTATCCTCATGATTATAAATATGATAAAGTATAGATATTAATCTATTTAATAATTTGAATCTCATGATATTAAATTTCACATATTATAAATTTCATAATGTAGATATTAATTTATTTAACAATAAAGTATTTAGAACTATCATTTGTTATTTATGGAGAATATTGAGATGTTAAATTTTGGATAATACTAATATGTTGAAAAGGCCCTCATAAAGTTTATTAAAATTCAAATACATTCAAATACTTTAAATATCTATACCCACAAAAATAAATATTTAATATCTATCATCTTGATTTTTAAAAATTACCCCTTAATTTTCTCTCCCAATTCAGCTTTATTCAATTATAAATTACTATATTAAGTCAATAGCACATTTCACACCTTCACGTCCATCTCACTTCTCTAATCACATTTGATTTATTTTCCTCTCGACTATTATTCATACTATCAATGGCTTTTATATCTAAAATGCATGCAATTCACATCATTAATACAACAAAAAAGGATTGATGCATTTGTGGTTAGGGTGATTCATGTTTAGAGATTGTTAGGTAGAAATATATTTGAAGAATCCAACAGACGTTGAATTGGTCTTCCAAGATGTTTGAGTAAGTGTTTATGTTTTTTGTATTTGTTTTTTATAATTTGGATCCCATCAATTACATCCAATATATAATACTTATCCTATATGTAGGGACAACATTACTATAGGATGGTCGAATCTCTGTAATCATTTGGAAGCCTTTTGTGAGATGTTCTGAAGATATATTGCATATCTCCCAATGCTCCTAATCATATTGGACAACAGATTATTCTTATAGGATTAGCTTCATGTTTTTTATATGAAATTGCATTCTGAGATGGATTCCATCCATCCATCATTTTGAGTTTAATTTTGTTAACATTCCAGAACTTACAGACAGAGAGGCAACAAATGATAATTACTTAGTTGGTATGTATTTAAATTTATTCTTTTAAAACTCTATTTAACACGTTTAAAATAATACCCTATCTTAATTCTTTATTATCAATTCAAAAACTATAATTGTGGACTATCTAATATTATTTAATATATAAAGATTGTGTACATATATAATAATCTTATTTTATATAACAAGTTCTCGACTATCTTATATAATATATGGAATTAGTTTAAGATAATTAGAAAGTAAAGTAATGACAATTTTGTTTAATATGTCAAGTTTTTGAAAATAATAAATTGTATATTTGATATATGTGACTCGCTTCTCAAATAAAATAAATAAGTTTGAAAAAATTATTTATCCTTTTGAACTAATTTATTTGATAGATTTGAGGTGTGAAATTAGGTTTGGGATAACATATCATTTTTATTTATTTTTAAATTTTATTTTAACTATATTTATCTATTTGAATTTCAAATTGAAAAATTTAATATGGATTAATTAAATTATTTTTTATCTTCATACAATAATAAAATTGAATTTTAGTTATATTTTGACTGGTGCGGTTTGAAAAATAAAATAATAAAATATATAAATTTATTTATTTTAATCAATTTAAATGGATACAAAAATTATATAAATTTTCATTTTTTATAAAATACATAAATATATTATATAATCATAATAAATTTAAATATTAATATTAATTCTAATCAATTAAGATTTTTTTAAAAATTTAAATGTTTTATTTGTATTATTTATATT